CCCGGCCCCCGGGGAGACAGACACGGCGCTTCCTCGCCGCCGGCTGCGTTTCTTCGGCGTCCCCGGTGTTGGCGCGAGCAGGTCTCGGCCTCCGCACCCCCTTGCGACGCGATTAATTACGTGCTCTGATTGCGGGACACGCGCAGCAGAGAACGCGGATATCCCGCTGGCGATGACGGGCAGATGTCCCGCCCGAGCTCCCCGCTCCGGCTCGGGCGCCCAGCTGGCGGGCCGCACAGCGCGGCAAACGCACGGAGCCCCAGGGCCGCGGGCGCAGGGGGCGCCCCCCGACTTCGGCTCCCCCGACGGCGCTTCCGCTCGCGAGCGAGTGAAACCGAATCGCTGCTGCGGGTTCAACGCGGATCTCGCGCCTCGTTAGCGGCGGAAACTGGTTACCTGTTCGGGCGCTAGGAACTCGCCGCTCCTCAAGGCGGCCGGAGAAGCCGGACAGGTGAACCGGAAACCATCACACGCGATACTAAAGACGGGCGGTTTGGGGTTTTTGTTTAACTGAAAATTACACTGATAAGGAGTACTACATGACAAAGTTTAAATTCAACAGGGAAAGACTCGGTCCTGGGTTTGGAGGATGTGGCAGGTAGATGTGACACACCCCCTTTCTGCTGACTCTCTAGGGTCCACTGGGCTCCGCTGACGAAAATATCGCTGTTCTCTCGTTGCATCACGAATCACCACAAATTTAGCAGCATCAATTAAACGATCTGTTCTATGGACCAAATGAAAGATATTTATAAACGAAGGTGCATTTCGAGTGTCTATAAATGCATCATGACTGGAGGATGGACGTTATACAAGTATTTGAGAATTGAGGGGAGACGAGGATTGTACACTACACAGAGCAAACAAAACCAGCACCCCTTATTGTTACCAATAAAAAGCCTAGGCACTCGGAGCCGAGAGCTCTGCAGGCCTCCGCCGGGGTTCGGGGTCCCCTCCGGCCCGTTCAGGTGCAGGCAGAATCCCAGCTGCCAGACTCAGGTCCCATTTCCTCCCTGGCTGTTGGCTGGGACACTCTCAGCCCTTAGGTGCTGCCCAGAGCTCTTCGCTGTGGTCTCCGGGGACAGCTTGTGGCCAGCAGGGCCTGTGTCTGACCTCTTAGAGGGCTCTGTCCCTTCCAAGAGTCCTTGTGACGAGGGCTGGCCCAGTTTGCAGCCTCCCTTTGAATCAACTCAAAGACACGGATTAGGGCCCTGGTCACGGGAGTGGTCATCCTGTCAGATGCACAGGTTCCGTGCACACTCGGGAGTGCTTTACACAACTGTCTCTGGGCGCGAGGTGGGGGACCCTGCCCAGCACAGAGCGGATGGCCTCTTGTCCCCCCACCCTCCAGGCACCCGCCTTGGCCTGATGTCCCCTTCTTCAACCCCTCCCCCTAGATCCTGGACTTCCGTGCCGCCCTGCTCAGAAGGAAAACGCCGAGGCACTGGAGCCCCAGGTGACACCTCTTTCCCGGGACACGTCTGCTAGGCTCATCTTGTGTGCACCATAACACATGCCAACGAGACAAAATCTGAGCACACGGCAAACGCCCTCCCCCACCTGCGCCTCCCTCTCCCGTCTCCCGCCTCCAAATTCTGTTCTGGCGTTAACCGGTACGACCGGCTCTGCTCCTGGCTCTCCTCGCAGACGCAGACGGCTCAGGCCGCACAGGCGGCTTTCTCCACGGGCAGCGTTGCGTTCTGCACGCGGTGTTCCTTAGCGGTGTCCCTCAGTGGTGCCTCTTCCCGCAGGGACGTGACCCGCTTTAACCTGGCACTCGACTCCGACTCCGACTCTGGAGAAGTGCCCCTGGCCTTCTATCATCTTGTCCCACGCTCTGGGTTCCCCCCAACCAGTCCCCTTCAGGAAGTGATAGGGAGAAGCTAAGTGAGGCGTGGCGGGCGGTTCCCAGCGTTTTCACAGGTTAGAGGGACCACAGCTGTGAGGTGCTCACCCCTCTGAGCGTTGCATGCGTGTGTGTCAGGCCTCAGGGAGTAGCGAGCACAGGGTATCAAACAGCCCAGTTACCAGCAACACTTTTTTTTTTACGGTGTGTGATTGTATCACCACAAATCGGCTTCCTCTCTGTTTGATTTAAAGAGACATACGACAGGCTTTCGGGGACATCAGCTTCATTGTGGGCTGCGAAAGTATCTAAAAACGATTTTTAAGATTCTTTCCATGGACAAATATTTTTGTAGTTGCAAACAACCAAGTAACTGAATTAGAAATTATGTTGCAACCCCCATCGTGGGGGTGGGGACCGGTGATTGCAAGGGGACAGTTACTACAAGGACACCCCATCCACTGGATATGAGAGCTGAGTTAAATTTTACTTTATTATTTAACATAATACAAATTGGAAACTTTGAATTGTTCAAAGCTAATTAGAAATAAATTAGATTGTAGACATTTTTAATTTTCAAATTAAATGATTTATCAAACACAACTCAAGCAGGAAACCCCGCGTCAGCACCCCAAGGCCCAGCATTCTGTTCCGCTTAGATGCTAATTCTAGCCCAACTTTTGGGGTACCGTTCCTCTGAAGGGCTCCTTTTAATCTCTTCTTAACCTGGTTGCCTATGTGGATGAAACAGGGGCCACATGCTAAACCAGACAAGCTCAGGGGAGGCCCCCCAAACTCAGAGACCAAAGCAACCGCACCAGGCGGTCCGAACAGACAAATCCGAACAGTGGGTCAGGGCGGGCAGTCGCGTCCTGGGCCTGCGGCCTGCGTGACAAAGGTCAGTCTTTTTACCTTGAGGGAGCATCGGAGGTAACACACCTCTGAACATGCGAGTGACCTCCAGAGCCCTCGGCACACACCCGGCTGCCCCGGGGCGCAGGACGCTCACTGTTCTCTCCTCCCCGAAGACCATCTCCACACGCTGCAAATGTCGGTAACTGGCCTGCGCCCCGCACTGTAAAAGAACGATGTGTCTCTCCGTTTTGCTTTTTATCCAGCTCCAGCGATCTCTCTGCTTTTCATAATCTACCCCCATCGAATTTCGCGGAAGCCCCCTGACGTCTCCCCCTTTTATCCTACTGCATAAAATAAGTAGCAAAACTGGCATTCTCTCGGGGCATTTTCCCATTCCGCTGAATTCCCAGCAATCGTCGTCAGTTTGGCTCAGATAAACTCACTGAAATTCTCTACAGGTTTGGACGTTTCTTACATCAACAGCTAAGAATACCTAAAACCTCCCAGAAAGCACTTAGCTTACTTCGCATGCGCCAGTAACACTCACAGCATGTGGCTGTATCAGGTGACGTTAACCAAGCTTAAAAGCCACCCAGAGCCTTTGTTAAATTCACAGGAAAGTTTTACCACACTCTGATTTAAGACGTGTTGGCAGCCCTTGAGCACTTCTGGGTGCAAGTAAAGTTTCTGCCACTTCCAAATCCAAGAATGTGTTTGTTAAATGATATGACCACATCGAAAACAAAAAACAAACAAAGCTTTGTTCCTTTTAAAAAAGGAAACCTTCGAATAAGAGGGCCTGAAACTTTGTTTTCCGCTGGCGTGCTCTCATCGGCAGGTTTGTGATAGCCACGCATGCCACAAGCCACAGTATTACTGACCATTCCCGGCGTAATTAAAGGCCTGCCGTGTTCCTTTAACAGTAAAGACATTCAGATTATCAAAGAATGGCGTTCCCGGTTTTCTACAAATGCTATCGTCACTGTTTCAACTTTGACCTAGAAAAATAGAGCAAGTAAAATCGGTAGTAAAACTGTGCAAAATAATCTCATTTAAAAATGTTTTACTGGTTTTACACAAACAAACTAATACAATAAAGCACATATTACAAATTACTTTGCCTGATTTGGATATTAGTGATTGAAAATCACTGTTTCAAAAAATCTCCTTTAGGTAATGTTAGAAAACTCAATAAATTGAAATTGCAGAACGAAATGAGCACATTTCCTTTCGTCTCTGGCCCTTCCAAGCTTTTAGAAGTTTTCTGGGCCTTTTGTCACCTTCCAGGAAGTCGGGGATGCCAAGGTACAAGTGAGTTAAACAGGCGGGCAGGTGGCTGCACCACACCCTGGAGGGGCAGAAACCGCCACGTGTGCACTCGGGGCTGTCAGCTTCCACAAGCCGTTGTAGTCTCTAGGGCTATTATTTTTAACCAGGTGTCAGAGGGAGAAAACCATTACTGAGATTCGAGTCTGATCTAGAATTCAGAATTCGGCTTATTAAAAGTCTCATCTTGGGTCATTTAGTAAATCAAGTAACGCATTGTGAGAGAAACAGAAGAGGACAGCACCATGAATTTTAGCAACTGTCGCATTTGCTCTACTACAGTTAGTAACACCACCTACCTACACGGTCTTCGCAGTTTATAAAGCGTCATCACATCGAATTACATCTTAAAGGTCAGAGATCAGAACCCCCGGCTTTGCTGCATGAGCTTCTCCGGGAGTCAGATTTCAGGTCCTGCCTCCTCCTGCCGTAGGGCTGCAGCGGAGGGAAGACACTGGTGTCTCTGCTTCGAGAGGAAATAACAAATGCTAACGAGCCACGAGCGGACAGCTGCGCCTCGCAGGCCTGTGAATCCTGATCACAGGTTCAAAGCTTCACCAGGACCTCTTTACCAGGGGGCAAAGGTCAACAGCATTTTATTGCCAGTGAAACTGACCCGAAAAAACCGCTTCCCTGAAGTCAGGACAGAAGGCAGACAAATGAGTGGCTTCCATCTGTCGTTTACCAGATTTGGTGGGCGGTGACCCGGGCCGGCTGGGGAGTCACCGCCAGCTTGGACCCCCGCCCCCGCCTCCCAGTCCCTCCCTCCTGCCGGCCGCTCCTGTCTCCAGGCTGTCCCCGTCTCCGCGCGGACCCCTCCCCGAGGCGGGATCATTCCCGCGGTTTAGGCTGCTTCCCGCCGCGCCACGCGCCGCCCTTCCCGGGCCCCCCGCCCTGCGGGCCGGGCCAGG